CCCCAAAACCCCAAAACCCCAAAACCCCAAAACCCCATAAAATTAACCAAAAATTGAACGACTCTTAGAAGAAATTAAGACTGATTTTGCTGTTCTAATAAGTTTAATCCTGAGTAGACTTCACATCTTTTAGGTATCATCCGATTGAAGAGGCGCAGCGCCTCTCTGGTTTTGACTTGAATGAGCTGCTAAATGTCTGCATCTGGTCAATCCCTAGAATGTCTTTAGTTAAAAAATATTACCTGCAGGGTAATTGCTACCACCTTGAGAAGGATTTTGCTGATAGTAGGCGCTAGAGTTGGACTTTGCAGAAGGTTTTACCAACTTTAATGTTTTAATGCTTCCTCTAGATCCTAACCTCTTACTTTTCTGAGCAATATCATGATTTTTAATACATTTGCTCTTACTTTTGTAAGTGTGAAATAGGTTATTTTGCATTCGAGCTGCTGACATTTTCGGATCAGTTAGATGCCTCTTATGGCCCTGAGATTGCATATTTTGGGTATGAAGAGTTTGAGGTTTTCTGTTTCATTTCTTCACAAATTTCTGAACTCTTTCAGAGCCTCTCAAGAACTTGCCAGAATGTCTATTATCCATACTTTTTACACCTGATATTGAAGATTGTGATTTTGATTTCTTATGATTTTTAAGAATAGTCCTTCTTGTAGGTTTCCTAGAAGACTCATTCGTGCTGATCTTTATTCCTTGGGTATATTGCGCTCAGTTGCTGCTAGACCTAACCTGAGGAGTAGCCTTATTATAAAAAGATTTGGTGCTTTTCTGGTACATGTCAGCCAAATAAGGAGAGAACTCCGTATTGGTTCGGTCAGGGGTTCTCGTAGATAGTTCCATCATGGCTGAACTACTCTCTTTGTCACGTTTGCTCTTTAGATAGCCTCTGAGAAGGTTTCTCTGGATTTCTCCTTTAAGCCGATTCTTTGTCAACTTGCTAGTTTTGGGCTCCTGAAGCTTTATTTTACTAAATTGACTAAAGCTGCTTATACTCATTGCTTTTTGATGATTCTTACAGCTATTCTGAGAATCCTGGTTGATATTGATAGGGGTACAATTAGATGCCATCAAAGTGATGGCTTTTGATAACTTCTTATGAGAATCAGTGGTAAAATGATCTCCTTTCGAAATCCCAAGAGTTTTGTAACTCTCTTCCTCGTTAAATTTAGCCAATTCACTCTTAAGAATCATAGATTCTTTGATGTATTGTTGTTCAATTTCAATAATTTTAGCTTCTAATTTGCTGATCTCTTCCGTTTTAAGAGATGAGCTCTTTCTCTCTTTCTCCAGGTCAGCTGTAAGTTCAGAAATCTGTGTGCTACTGTGGGTTACAGAATCTAAGAAGTTATATAGATACCAACCTCGGAGTTTAATGAGTTCTGACTCATAATCAACTTTGATCCTTCTCTTCTCTGACTCAGCTCTGTGCCACTTCTCTTCAGCTTCATCTATTTTGGCATGCACAGATTCAATATGAAGCTTAAGCTGCTGTTCTAAACGTTACGATAAGAAAGTACCTGTTCTAATATGGTTCCTAGCATCAGCCTCAAGCTTCTGAATAGCAATCTCATATTCCTTATTCAAATCATAGCCAGAGCTTTCAGTGGCCCGGCTATTATCTCAAGGGTGGTCGTCCTTCTTGAAGAAGGGTCTTGTCCTGGGATGGTACTTCACTTCTTTAAGTTTATACTGCGATTCATCCAATTTCATGGCCATTAAGATCTCGATAGTAGACTTTATATAGCTGACGATAGCTCAGAGACTCAAATGGCTAAGCTTTTCCCTGTCTCTTTCCTTCTGTGTAGGAGTTTCGTTGCTCAAGTCCTCTGAGCTACGTATTTTGACGTCTAAATTATTGTCATTTATTGATGTTAGAAGTATAATGCAAAGTTTACCTAAATATAGATCAATCAAAGCCTGCCGTAAACTCCCAAGATCTTCTGATTCTTTCATATTGGAGATGTTCACTTCTACAGGAGAGGAAACTGCCTCAATATCACTAATGATACCAAATTCTTTTAGTCTCTTTGGAGATGAAAAGATGGACATTTCAAAAATAATTAAAATTTCTGTTTTAGAGGGGTTTTGGGGTTTTGGGGTTTTGGGGTTTTGGGG